CGCGATCGCACCTTGTTCCATGTGGGCAAACTATTGTTCGCGTGTCGGACTATCCGCGACTCCCGACTATCGCACACCAATCGTGGCAGGCCTCCTTGGATCCTGTTGGAAATATCTCAAGGACTTAAGCGTTTCTGAAGTGTAACACCACACTCGAGGAAGATCGTAACGGGTACGCGAGTCGACGGAGGTTACACGAGGGGATGGACAAAGAACACGAAAGGACTCGAAGGGTCGCAACCGGAGGTTGCGACTGACCGTTACAACTGCAATGATGGTAACCGAAGCAACAATCGAGTCGCTGTGTGTTATGAATGGGACTGCCGAGTAGCGCGGAGGGCAATGGCGAAACTGTGAACGAGTGAATGACAATAAAATGAAAGACAATACAATATATAGAAAGCCTAGGGTGGTCCTTGACGTAGGATCGAAAGGTTCGGGAAAAGTGTCGAAGGGCCTCGATGTGTCGTAGCGAGGTCCGGAAAGGCCCAGGAGGCTCGAACTGATAGGTCTGGAACCCTGGCGATGGTTCGGGACTGTTCGAGTCGTACACCCCGGAGCAAGCCTCAGTAAGGAATCCCTAATTCCTTACACTCTCCCCCCTTCTAGATAAGCACACAAATAAATAAAACTACACACACTCTAACTGAATCTCGTAGTAGTGAAGCCACCACTGTTGAGAATCTCGAGCTTCTTCAAGAAACTCCATCCAACGGTCGAAACACGTCGAAACGATCGCGGTCGATCGTAGCCGTCGAATCTTGGTCGAATCACCCAGATAACCAAACGGGCAGTAGGGATACTACCGCACCACAGCTTCCATGTCTCCAGCGAATCCTTCGCCGAGGATTACAAACCCAATCGTCGTGTACTGTATCCGCACAATAACACCACGTTATTCATACTGCTGCAAGTTGGCGAGCCGAATCTTCTGCATGCGCCAAACTTGTTCGTAGCTCCATAACTGTAGATCGCTCCTCGTTTAGCTCCACGCGAGTCGTGACACTCGCAGAAACACGCGTCCGTATTTCGCAAAGTCAACGAAATCCAGCAATTCGTCAAGTGCGAAGTCATTCGTGACACATGCGAGAACACGCGTCCGTGTCTCACGAAAGTCAGCGAATTCCATCAGCTCAAGGACGAAAGCTCCGTCAGTCCTGTAACCGTAGTCGATGTCGCCTAAGGCAGTTAATGTAAGCACGCCTTCAACTTTCGCAAACTCCTGCGAAATTCCCTAAAGGCCAACTCGAATCTGTCCGTCGATTTAGTCGGTCAAACATCATCTATCCGTCGATGCTCGTACAGCGGATGTCAAACTTGTCGAGGGAAACTCCAAAAAACAACTGCTGCGCAGCTGCTCTCTCCCCCCTCCATGAAACGAAAATCTTTTGTCAGCGATGCCAAAATTCCCCGCTTCAAGTTTCTTCAGATCCAGAAAAATGAAGTATCTTCAAACTCTGCTCGTCGGGACCAGTCTCAGCGCGACCCTATAACGCAGGGCAGCTGCGCCACGTAGACTCTAGTTCCATCCGACGCCGTAGATCGATATTCTGCTCCACAGAATGCCGTCGATTTGCTTCGCGTTGTTACCCTCTGTAGAAATATCTGTAACTCCACCTGACCGGTTCACCGTGCAGACGTTCACCCATCGCGCGGCTACGGCAGGTACCCCTGAAAAACTTAGGTACAGTTCTCAGCTCCGAAAAACGCTTTCTCTGCAGTTTCACCGACTAACCATGCTGGTATTTAAACCTTCGCACAGCTCGGTAGGTACCCGTGACCCCAGCTACCGCTCCAGCCGAAAACTTGAAGAATTCCCACCCGAAAATAACCCGACGTTTAGCGACGCGCCGATGTTCACCCATCATTGCGCCCGTCCAGGTAAATCCACGAATGAGTCCTCGCAGCCGAGTCTTTGATTATAGCCCCCCAACTCAGGGATAATCCGTGAAGACTCCCGCGTGACTCCAAATTTTCCGTGACGGCAACACGCTTTCCCCACTGCAACAGTAACCCTTGTCGTCCTGAAGCTCCATTTGTTGAATACACTCCAGAGCAGGGGTGAATCCGCCGTGTGCCTGTACTCAGGTAAGCGCAAACGCTATCGTAGTTGGGCGAATTAATCAGTCTAATTCGCGGGCAACCGCTTTGCAGCTTACGTGAGGGATTCTCCTTCCCCTCCCTGAAAAAACCCGTTTCTGCAACAATCTGCTCCAACTGCTGCAAATTTCTTCAACTGCTGCTTCCAGAGTAAAACCCCCGCAGGCCGCTGTTCACCCAGCGCCCACGTTCGTCGTTCTCCAAAACAGTACCGCGCACGTTCTTTCGAAAAACTCGCAGCTCCGTCGATCTCGGCGATACATCCTCGCCGTTCGTATCGGACTCGAGCTCCGCGTACCGTCCGATCGTTATCGCAAAACTCCTTCGCTTTTTTCGTTAACCTGCTTCACGCGCCTCCCACTGTACAGCGTACGAATTTCACAAATCGTGCACCTGTCGTGTAGCGCCGAAAAGTTTCCTTCGATCCACCAGCACTGGGTGATCCGCTGGCTCATCCTCCTTTATTCGTCCGGGAGCGGTCGATAGCATGTATCGTACTACCACCCGGTGGAGATGCTGAAGATCGGACGACCCAGCCAAGTCAGTCGGAGGATCCGTCTGCCGCTGACTCCTAATTTTTCCCGGCTGTTACCCAGTCATTCTCCTTCTCTGCTTCAGGTTTTCGTCGTTGACTTTTAGCGGTGACCCGGCGATGACACTTAAACTTGACCCGAGGGTAGTTGCTGGTCGTCCTCCGTAGATCGTGGGGCGTAATTTCTGACCACGAAAATGGCTTCCTCTGCAGGAATCCAGACCCGCCGAGCTCGCAGCTCCAGGGGCAGACGAATTACACCTCCAGGCGGGCAGGTCACGCGAAACAATTTCGAGGTCAGTACTCCCCGAAACTTTTCCGTGCCTGAGCCCCACGTGTGCTGTTGTGCGATCCTTGGTCGTGCCGAAAACTCCAACGCCGCGTTTGCTGAACAGTATCCGAAGTCCCGTCTTCACCTGCGTGTCGCCTGCCGGAAACGCCGGGCCCTTGACATCAGCTACACTTCACCATGCAGCCACGTCTGCTACACGCGCTCCTGACGAAATCCATTTCGCCTGGGGATATCCGCGAGCTTGTCGTGTCGTGACGAGCTCCTCCCTCCATTCGGACACCAATCCGAATCGTCGTTGCTGCTTGCCGAAATTTCCGAAACTGCAACCGAAGCCCTTTTAACGATATGTGAAATACATGCTCAATCACCATACATGCTCAATCACCATACATGCTCAATCACCATACATGCTCAATCACCATACATGCTCAATCACCATACATGCTCAATCACCATACATGCTCAATCGCCATACATGCTCAATCACCATACATGCTCAATCACCATACATGCTCAATCACCATACATGGTCATTCACCATACATGCTCATTCACCATACATGCTCAATCACCATACATGCTCAATCACCATACATGCTCAATCACCATACATGCTCAATCACCATACATGCTCAATCACCATACATGGTCATTCACCATACATGCTCATTCACCATTCATGCTCAATCACCATACATGGTCATTCACCATACATGCTCATTCACCATACATGGTCATTCACCATACATGCTCATTCACCATACATGGTCATTCACCATACATGCTCAATCACCATACATGCTCATTCACCATGCAAGCCCCACCGACTCAGCCAAAGCCAACTGTGGGTTCTGCCCTTTGCGCCACCGCATGCAGTTGCCCGCACCGCTGCTCCGACCACCAGTCCCCGATACTCCTTGCCTGACCTTGCCCACTGGCCGCTCGACAGTACTCCTTGCCTGACCTTGCTGCTCGCCACGGCCACACACAGATCGCCGTATTTGCACCGTATCCCCCCTAGTGGTACAGCACTATTTATTAATGCAGCAATGAATCACCAGTAGTCGCAAACCCCTCGGGGATGTCAGCATTGTTGCTGTCATTTCTTGCTCAGGCTGAGGCGGACTTGCTGGCAGCATGGAAGTATGATGGGGATAGGGACATGATGCCGAGCAATGGTTGGGGGAGGGAGAAGACATGCATGGGTGAAGGCATGGATGGGTGAAGGCATGGATGGGTGAAGGCATGGATGAGAGAATGAGCTAGGTTGTACTGTTGCAGTAAGAGCAAACACTACCAACGCTCACCAACACGAACCCCACCGCCACCAGAGCAACTGGAGTAGGGGAGAGGAAGTATGCAGGCCGGTAGTGCATGCGGGGGCTTGAGCACCCTAAACCCGAGAACGTACCTGTTGCACACCCTTAAGAGAGGATACCAAGACTACCACCAAACGTAACAACCAACCAAGCCACCAACCGGCCAACGCACCAACACGACCAACGCACCTTGAGCAGGGAGAGGAAGTATGCCGGCTGGGTGTGCATGCGGATGCCAGTGGTCGTAATCGGTGACCTGGGCTGCAGCATACAAGTGAGAAAATGAACACGAGCATGAAACGAGTGACTCCATACGGGGTACAGATTATGGTTGGCGGCGTGCGTGCAACAAATGGAGCCAGTGAATCACCAAGGCGGAGAAAAGAGAACTCTCAAGAGGGAAGAGAAGGGGAAGCGGAGGAGAAAAAGGGGGGAGCAAAGAGGGGGGGCAAAGAGGGGGAGAAAAGAGGGGAGAAAGGAGAAGAGAGGAGAATGGAGGAGAAGAGAGGAGAAAGGAGGAGGAGGAGAAAAGAGAGACCAGAGAGAGTGCACCAGGCGGTTGCCATGCCAAGGGGCGAAGGCTTTGTTGGGCGTCAATGCCGTAGGTTGAAGGGGGAAGGCGCGGCAAGGGGAAGGCGCAGCAAGGGGGAAGGCGCAGCAAGGGGGAAGGCGCAGCAAGGGGGAAGTGGACCACATATATTACCAGACTGAAAATTGCTTTGATGGCAGCGTCCCTCTCCACAAGGAGAACATTCTGCGGAAGATGTGGGGGGTCATGGGGAGGCGAGGGAGAGGGAGGGGGCGGAGAGGGGGAAGGAAAGGGGGAGGCGAGGGAGAGGAGAGGGAGAGGAGAGGGAGAGGAGAGGGAGAGGAGAGGGAGAGGAGAGGGCACGTGGGGCGTGGGGGGGGAAGTAGAATAGAGGGCAAGAGGGGAAAAGAGGGAGCAAGAGGGGAGAAGAGAGGGAGCAAGAGGGAAAGAGGGAGAAGAGGGGAAAGAGGGGAAGGGGGAGGGGGAAGAGGGAGCAAGAGGGAAAAGAGGGAGCAAGAGGGGAAAAGAGGGAGCAAGAGGGGAAAAGAGGGGCAAGAGGGAAAGAGGGAGCAAAGGGGAAAAGAGGGGCAAGAGGGGAAAAGAGGGGCAAGAGGGGAAAGAGGGGCAAGAGGGGAAAAGAGGGGGCAAGAGGGGAAAAGAGGGAGCAAGAGGGGAAAAGAGGGAGCAAGAGGGGAAAAGAGGGGGCAAGAGGGGAAAAGAGGGCAGAGGGAAGAGGGGGCAAGAGGGAAAAGGGGGCAAGGGGAAAAGAGGGGCAAGAGGGAAAGAGGGGAAGAGGGGAAAAGGGGGCGGGGAAGGGGCGGGGGAGGGGGAGGGGGGGGGGGAGGGGGGGGGGAGGGGAAAGAGGGGGCAAGAGGGGAAAGAGGGGCAAGAGGGGAAAAGAGGGAGCAGAGGGGAAAAGAGGGGCAAGGGGAGAGGGGGCAGAGGGGGAAAGAGGGGAAAAAGGGGCAAGAGGGAAAAGAGGGGGCAAGAGGGGAAAAGAGGGAGCAAGAGGGGAAAAGAGGGAGCAAGAGGGGAAAGAAGAGGGGCAAGAGGGGGAAAAGAGGGAGCAGAAAAGAGGGAGAAGAGGAAAAGAGGGGCAAGAGGGGAAAGGGGAGCAAGAGGGAAAAGAGGGGCAGAGGGGAAAAGAGGAGCAAGGAGGGGAAAAGAGGGGCAAGAGGGGAAAAGAGGGAGCAAGAGGGGAAAAGAGGAGCAAGAGGGAAAAGAGGGAGCAAAGGGGAAAAGAGGGAGCAAGAGGGGAAAGAGGGAGCAAGAGGGGAAAAGAGGGAGCAAGAGGGGAAAGAGGGGGCAAGAGGGGAAAAGAGGAGCAAGAGGGGAAAGAGGGGGCAAGAGGGGAAAGAGGGAGCAAGAGGGGAAAAGAGGGAGCAAGAGGGGAAAAGAGGGAGCAAGAGGGGAAAAGAGGGAGCAAGAGGGGAAAAGAGGAGCAGGGGAAAAGAGGGGCAAGAGGGGAAAAGAGGGAGCAAGAGGGGAAAAGGGGGCAGAGGGGAAAAGAGGGAGCAAGAGGGGAAAAGGGAGCAAGAGGGGAAAAGAGGGGGCAAGAGGGGAAAAGAGGGAGCAAGAGGGAAAAGAGGGGCAAGAGGGGAAAAGAGGGGCAAGAGGGGAAAGAGGGGCAAGAGGGGAAAAGAGGGGCAAGAGGGGAAAAGAGGAGCAAGGGGGAAAAGAGGGCAAGAGGGGAAAAGGGGGGCAAGAGGGGGAACAAGAGGGGAGCACAGAGGGGAAAAAGAGGGAGCAAGAGGGGAAAAGAGGGAGCAAGAGGGGGAAAAGAGGGAGCAAGAGGGGAAGAAGAGGGGAGCAAGAGGGAAAAGAGGGGGCAAGAGGGGAAAAGAGGGGGCAAGAGGGGAAAAGGAGGAGGGCAAGAGGGAAAAGAGGGAGCAAGAGGGGAAAAGAGGGAGCAAGAGGGGAAAGAGGGAGCAAGAGGGGAAAGAGGGGGCAAGAGGGGAAAAGAGGGAGCAAGAGGGGAAAAGAGGGGCAAGAGGGGAAAAGAGGGGCAAGGGGGAAAAGAGGAGCAGAGGGAAAGAGGGGCAGGGGGAAAGAGGGGGCAAGAGGGAAAAGAGGGGGCAAGAGGGAAAAGAGGGGGCAAGAGGGGGAAAGAGGGGGCAAGAGGGGAAAGAGGGGCAAGAGGGGGAAAAGAGGGGCAAGAGGGGAAAAGAGGGGGGCAAGAGGGAAAAGAGGGGCAGAGGGGAAAAGAGGGAGCAAGAGGGGGAAAGAGGGGAGCAAGAGGGGAAAAGAGGGAGCAAGAGGGGAAAAGAGGGGAGGCAAGAGGGGAAAAGAGGGAGCAAGAGGGGAAAAGAGGGAGCAAGAGGGGGAAAATGTTGGTGCAACCCCTATGGCTTGCACTCGGCTTGTCGTCCTTGTTTGTCTGTGTGCATGCATGGCATGGAATGAGTTGTGAGTCTATGTCATTGCTATCCAGTGCTTGTGTGTGTGTTTGAATGGTGTATCACAATGTGATTTGTGTCGGTCAAGACATTAGCGAGTTTTTACAACTCGCATGTCAAGTCGTCGTTTGTGGTGTCGCATGTGTTTTTTCTATTTTGTGGGAGTGTCAAGTGTCCATCGTGTCGCAGGTGTGTGCAGCAAGCCCCCATCAACTCAAGAAGAATTTATCTTGCAGATCCAAGAACAAGAGCTCAAGATTTCAAGCCCAAGGGACGCGGATAAATATTAAATAGTGAAAATAGTAACGTTACTTCGTGTAGTGTTACATTTCACTTGGTGTAGCCTCTTGGAGGGTTGGTTTCGAGGGCTCTTCATGGTTGGGGACTCTGTGGTGGTGTACCACAAACCTGACCTCGGCTCTTGGGTATGTAGAGGCTTGGGAACCATCTCCCTCTCGAACTCTTCTTGGCAAAGTTTGTACTTCCAAGACTATAGTGGCTGCTATACCTTCTGCCAGTCAAACCGCCATAGCGTCGTCAATCTTCATGGAAATTCATGATTCAACTTGCTGCTGATAAACGACGCAACGCGCTCCTGATCCAACTTACAGATCACAGTTTGATTCAGCGACCAGATCGCTATCAATATTTGAAGCCGTCTGACGGAAATCCGACTGTGCTCTCTATCTCTCATTATAGGCACATCTGAGCCTATTGTGACTCGACAGAAAAGAGGGAGCAAGAGGGGAAAAGAGGGGAAGAGGGGAAAAGAGGGGCAAGAGGGGAAAAGAGGGGGCAAGAGGGGAAAAGAGGGAGAAAGAGGGGAAAAGAGGGGGGAAGAGGGAAAAGAGGGGCAAGAGGGGAAAAGAGGGGGCAAGAGGGGAAAAGAGGGAGCAAGAGGGGAAAAGAGGGGGCAAGAGGGGAAAAGAGGGGGCAAGAGGGGAAAAGAGGGGCAAGAGGGGAAAGAGGGGCAAGAGGGGAAAAGAGGGGGCAAGAGGGGAAAAGGGGGGCAAGAGGGGAAAAGAGGGGCAAGAGGGGAAAAGAGGGGGCAAGAGGGGAAAAGGGGGCAAGAGGGGAAAAGAGGGAGCAAGAGGGGAAAAGAGGGGGCAAGAGGGGAAAAGAGGGAGCAAGAGGGGAAAAGAGGAGCAAGAGGGGAAAAGAGGGAGCAAGAGGGGAAAAGAGGGGCAAGAGGGAAAAGAGGGGGCAAGAGGGGAAAGAGGGGGCAAGAGGGGAAAAGAGGGGGCAAGAGGGGAAAAGAGGGGCAAGAGGGGAAAAGAGGGGCAAGAGGGGAAAAGAGGGGGCAAGAGGGGAAAAGAGGGGCAAGAGGGGAAAAGGAGGGCAAGAGGGGAAAAGAGGGGGCAAGAGGGGAAAGAGGGGGCAAGAGGGGAAAAGAGGGAGCAAGAGGGGAAAAGAGGGAGCAAGAGGGGAAAAGAGGGGGCAAGAGGGGAAAGAGGGAGCAAGAGGGGAAAAGAGGGAGCAAGAGGGGAAAAGAGGGAGCAAGAGGGGAAAAGAGGGGGCAAGAGGGGAAAAGAGGAGCAAGAGGGGAAAAGAGGGGGCAAGAGGGGAAAAGAGGGGCAAGAGGGGAAAAAGGGAGCAAGAGGGGAAAAGAGGGCAAGAGGGGAAAAGAGGGAGCAAGAGGGGAAAAGAGGGGGCAAGAGGGGAAAAGAGGGAGCAAGAGGGGAAAAGAGGGGGCAAGAGGGGAAAAGAGGGAGCAAGAGGGGAAAAGAGGGGGCAAGAGGGAAAAGAGGGAGCAAGAGGGGAAAAGAGGGGCAAGAGGGGAAAAGAGGGGCAAGAGGGGAAAGAGGGGCAAGAGGGGAAAAGAGGGGGCAAGAGGGAAAAGAGGGAGCAAGAGGGGAAAAGAGGGAGCAAGAGGGGAAAAGAGGGCAAGAGGGGAAAAGAGGGAGCAAGAGGGGAAAAGAGGGAGCAAGAGGGGAAAAGAGGAGCAAGAGGGGAAAAGAGGGAGCAAGAGGGGAAAAGAGGGAGCAAGAGGGGAAAAGAGGGGGCAAGAGGGAAAAGAGGGAGCAAGAGGGGAAAAGAGGGCAAGAGGGGAAAAGAGGAGCAAGAGGGGAAAAGAGGGAGCAAGAGGGGAAAAGAGGGGCAAGAGGGGAAAAGAGGGAGCAAGAGGGGAAAGAGGGAGCAAGAGGGAAAAGAGGGAGCAAGAGGGAAAAGAGGAGCAAGAGGGGAAAAGAGGGAGCAAGAGGGAAAAGAGGGAGCAAGAGGGGAAAAGGGGGCAAGAGGGGAAAAGAGGGAGCAAGAGGGGAAAAGAGGGGCAAGAGGGGAAAAGAGGGAGCAAGAGGGAAAAGAGGGAGCAAGAGGGGAAAAGAGGGAGCAAGAGGGGAAAAGAGGGAGCAAGAGGGGAAAAGAGGGAGCAAGAGGGGAAAAGAGGGGCAAGAGGGGAAAAGAGGAGCAAGAGGGGAAAAGAGGGGCAAGAGGGGGGGAAAAGAGGGCAAGAGGGAAAGAGGGGCAAGAGGGAAAAGAGGGGGCAAGAGGGGAAAAGAGGGAGCAAGAGGGGAAAAGGGGGCAAGAGGGGAAAAGAGGGGCAAGAGGGGAAAAGAGGGGCAAGAGGGGAAAAGAGGGGGCAAGAGGGGAAAAGAGGGAGCAAGAGGGGAAAAGAGGGAGCAAGAGGGAAAAGAGGGGCAAGAGGGGAAAAGAGGAGCAAGAGGGGAAAAGAGCGAGCAAGAGGGGAAAAGAGGGAGCAAGAGGGGAAAAGAGGGAGCAAGAGGGGAAAAGAGGGAGCAAGGGGAAAAGAGGGGGCAAGAGGGGAAAAAGGGAGCAAGAGGGGAAAAGAGGGGGCAAGAGGGGAAAAGAGGGAGCAAGAGGGGAAAAGAGGGGGCAAGAGGGGAAAAGGGGGCAAGAGGGGAAAAGAGGGAGCAAGAGGAGAAAAGAGGGGGCAAGAGGGAAAAGAGGGAGCAAGAGGGGAAAGAGGGAGCAAGAGGGGAAAAGAGGGAGCAAGAGGGGAAAAGAGGGGCAAGAGGGGAAAAGAGGGAGCAAGAGGGGAAAAGAGGGAGCAAGAGGGGAAAAGAGGAGCAAGAGGGGAAAAGAGGGAGCAAGAGGGGAAAAGAGGGGCAAGAGGGGAAAAGAGGGGCAAGAGGGGAAAAGAGGGGGCAAGAGGGAAAGAGGGGCAAGAGGGGAAAGAGGGGGCAAGAGGGGAAAAGAGGGGGCAAGGGGAAAAGAGGGCAAGAGGGGAAAAGAGGGGGCAAGAGGGGAAAAGAGGGGCAAGAGGGGAAAAGGGAGCAAGAGGGAAAAGAGGAGCAAGAGGGGAAAAGAGGGAGCAAGAGGGGAAAAGAGGGAGCAAGAGGGGAAAAGAGGAGCAAGAGGGGAAAAGAGGGAGCAAGAGGGGGAAAATGTTGGTGCAACCCTATGGCTTGCACTCGGCTTGTCGTCCTTGTTTGTCTGTGTGCATGCATGGCATGGAATGAGTTGTGAGTCTATGTCATTGCTATCCAGTGCTTGTGTGTGTTTTGAATGGTGTCACAATGTGATTTGTGTCGGTCAAGACATTAGCGAGTTTTTACAACTCGCATGTCAAGTCGTCGTTTGTGTGTCGCATGTGTTTTTTTCTATTTTGTGGAGTGTCAAGTGTCCATCGTGTCGCAGGTGTGTGCAGCAAGCCCCCATCAACTCAAGAAGAATTTATCTTGCAGATCCAAGAACAAGAGCTCAAGATTTCAAGCCCAAGGGACGCGGATAAATATTAAATAGTGAAAATAGTAACGTTACTTCGTGTAGTGTTACATTTCACTTGGTGTAGCCTCTTGGAGGGTTGGTTTCGAGGCTCTTCATGGTTGGGGACTCTGTGGTGGTGTACCACAAACCTGGACCTCGGCTCTTGGGGTATGTAGAGGCTGGGAACCATCTCCCTCTCGAACTCTTCTTGCAAAGTTTGTACTTCCAAGACTATAGTGGCTGCTATACCTTCTGCCAGTCAAACCGCCATAGCGTCGTCAAATCTTCATGGAAATTCATGATTCAACTTGCTGCTGATAAACGACAGCAACGCGCTCCAGATCCAACTTACAGATCACAGTTTGATTCAGCGACCAGATCGCTATCAATATTTGAAGCCGTCTGACGGAAATCCGACTGTGCTCTCTATCTTTATAGGCACATCTGAGCCTATTGTGACTCGACAGAAAGAGGGAGCAAGAGGGGAAAAGAGGGGGGAAGAGGGGAAAAGAGGGGCAAGAGGGGAAAAGAGGGGCAAGAGGGGAAAAGAGAGGAGAAAGAGGGAAAGAGGGGGAAGAGGGGAAAAGAGGGGCAAGGGGGAAGAGGGGCAAGAGGGGAAAAGAGAGCAAGAGGGGAAAGAGGGGGCAAAGGGGAAAAGAGGGGGCAAGAGGGAAAAGAGGGGGCAAGAGGGGGAAAAGAGGGGGCAAGAGGGGAAAAGAGGGGCAAGAGGGGAAAAGAGGGGGCAAGAGGGGAAAAGAGGGGCAAGAGGGGAAAAGAGGGGCAAGAGGGGAAAAGAGGGAGCAAGAGGGGAAAAGAGGGGGCAAGAGGGGAAAGAGGGAGCAAGAGGGGAAAAGAGGGAGCAAGAGGGGAAAAGAGGGAGCAAGAGGGGAAAGAGGGGGCAAGGGGAAAAGAGGGGCAAGAGGGAAAAGAGGGGGCAAGAGGGGAAAAGAGGGGCAAGAGGGGAAAAGAGGGGGCAAGAGGGGAAAAAGGGGCAAGAGGGGAAAAGAGGGGCAAGGGGAAAAGAGGGGCAAGAGGGGAAAAGGAGGGGCAAGAGGGGAAAGAGGGGGCAAGAGGGGAAAAGAGGGGCAAGAGGGGAAAAGAGGGGCAGAGGGGAAAAGAGGGGCAAGAGGGGAAAAGAGGGGCAAGGGGAAAAGAGGGGGCAAGAGGGGAAAAGAGGGGCAAGAAGGGAAAGGGGGCAAGAGGGGAAAAGGGGCAAGAGGGGAAAAGGGGCAAGAGGGGAAAAGGGGCAAGAGGGGAAAAGGGGCAAGAGGGGAAAAGGGGCAAGAGGGGAAAAGGGGCAAGAGGGGAAAAGAGGGGGCAAGAGGGGAAAGAGCGGGCAAGAGGGGAAAAGAGGGAGCAAGAGGGGAAAAGAGGAGCAAGAGGGGAAAAGAGGGGCAAGAGGGGAAAAGAGGGGCAAGAGGGAAAAGGGGGCAAGAGGGAAAAGAGGGGGCAAGAGGGAAAAAGGGGGCAAGAGGGGAAAAGGGGGCAAGAGGGGAAAAGGGAGCAAGAGGGAAAAGAGGGAGCAAGAGGGGAAAAGAGGGGCAAGAGGGGAAAAAGGAGGGCAAGAGGGAAAAGAGGGGCAAGAGGGGAAAAGAGGGAGCAAGAGGGGAAAAGAGGGGGCAAGAGGGGAAAAGAGGGGGCAAGAGGGGAAAAGGGGGCAAGAGGGGAAAAGAGGGGCAAGAGGGGAAAAGAGGGGCAAGAGGGGAAAAGAGGGGGCAAGAGGGAAGAGAGGGGCAAGAGGGGAAAAGAGGGGGCAAGAGGGGAAAAGAGGGAGCAAGAGGGAAGAGGGGGCAAGAGGGGAAAAGAAGAGGGGGCAAGAGGGGAAAAGAGGGGGCAAGAGGGAAAAAGAGGGGGCAAGAGGGAAAAGAGGGAGCAAGAGGGGAAAAGAGGGGGCAAGAGGGGAAAAGAGGGGCAAGAGGGAAAAGAGGGGCAAGAGGGGAAAAGAGGGGGCAAAGGGGAAAAGAGGGGCAAGAGGGAAAAGAGGGGCAAGAGGGGAAAAGAGGGGCAAGAGGGGAAAAGAGGGGCAAGAGGGAAAAGAGGGAGCAAGAGGGAAAAGAGGGGGCAAGAGGGGAAAAGAGGGGCAAGAGGGGAAAAGAGGGGGCAAGAGGGGAAAAGAGGGGGCAAGAGGGGAAAAGAGGGGCAAGAGGGGAAAAGAGGGGGCAAGAGGGGAAAAGAGGGGGCAAGAGGGGAAAAGAGGGAGCAAGAGGGGAAAAGAGGGAGCAAGAGGGGAAAAGGGGAGCAAGAGGGGAAAAGAGGGGCAAGAGGGGAAAAGAGGGGCAAGAGGGAAAAGAGGGGCAAGAGGGGAAAAGAGGGGGCAAGAGGGGAAGAGAGGGGCAAGAGGGGAAAAGAGGGGCAAGAGGGGAAAAGAGGGGGCAAGAGGGGAAAAGGGGAGCAAGAGGGGAAAAGAGGGAGCAGAGGGGAAAAGAGGGGGCAAGAGGGGAAAAGAGGGGCAAGAGGGAAAAGAGGGAGCAAGAGGGGAAAAGAGGGAGCAAGAGGGGAAAAGAGGGAGCAAGAGGGGAAAAGAGGGAGCAAGAGGGGAAAAGGGGGCAAGAGAAAAGAGGGAGCAAGAGGGAAAAGAGGGAGAGGGGAAAAGAGGGGGCAAGAGGGGAAAAGAGGGGGCAAGAGGGGAAAAGAGGGGCAAGAGGGGAAAAGAGGGAGCAAGAGGGGAAAAGAGGGAGCAAGAGGGGAAAAGAGGGGGCAAGAGGGGAAAAGAGGGAGCAAGAGGGGAAAAGAGGGAGCAAGAGGGGAAAAGAGGGGCAAGAGGGGAAAAGAGGGGCAAGAGGGGAAAAGAGGGGCAAGAGGGGAAAAGAGGGAGCAAGAGGGGAAAAGAGGGGGCAAGAGGGGAAAAGAGGGGGCAAGAGGGGAAAAGAGGGGCAAGAGGGGAAAAGAGGGGCAAGAGGGGAAAAGAGGGGCAAGAGGGGAAAGAGGAGCAAGAGGGGAAAAGAGGGGCAAGAGGGGAAAAGAGGGGGCAAGAGGGGAAAAGAGGGAGCAAGAGGGGAAAAGAGGGGCAAGAGGGAAAAGGGGCAAGAGGGGAAAGAGGGGGCAAGAGGGGAAAAGAGGAGCAAGAGGGAAAAGGGGGCAAGAGGGGAAAAGGGGGGCAAGAGGGGAAAAGAGGGGGCAAGAGGGAAAAGAGGGGCAAGAGGGGAAAAGAGGGGGCAAGAGGGGAAAAGAGGGAGCAAGAGGGGAAAAGAGGGGCAAGAGGGGAAAAGAGGGGCAAGAGGGGAAAAGAGGGGCAAGAGGGAAAAGAGGGAGCAAGAGGGGAAAAGAGGGGCAAGAGGGGAAAAGAGGGCAAGAGGGGAAAAAGAGGGGAGCAAGAGGGGAAAGAGGGAGCAAGAGGGAAAAGAGGCAAGAGGGGAAAAGAGAGGGACAAGAGCGGAAAAGAGGGAGCAAGAGGGAAAAGAGGAGCAAGAGGGGAAAAGAGGAGCAAGAGGGAAAAGAGGGGCAAGAGGGGAAAAGAGGGGCAAGAGGGGAAAAGAGGGGCAAGAGGGGAAAAGAGGGGGCAAGAGGGAAGAGAGGGCAAGAGGGAAAAGAGGGGCAAGAGGGGAAAAGAGGGGCAAGAGGGGAAAAGAGGGAGCAAGAGGGAAAAGAGGGAGCAAGAGGGGAAAAGAGGGGCAAGAGGGGAAAAGAGGGGCAAGAGGGGAAAAGAGGGGCAAGAGGGGAAAAGAGGGGCAAGAGGGGAAAGAGGGAGAGAGGGGAAAAGAGGGAGCAAGAGGGGAAAAGAGGGGGCAAGAGGGGAAAGAGGGAGCAAGAGGGGAAAAGAGGGGCAAGAGGGGAAAAGAGGGGCAAGAGGGGAAAAGAGGGGCAAGAGGGGAAAAGAGGGGCAAGAGGGGAAAAGAGGGGGCAAGAGGGAAAAGAGGGGCAAGAGGGGAAAAGAGGGGCAAGAGGGGAAAAGAGGGAGCAAGAGGGGAAAAGAGGGAGCAAGAGGGGAAAAGAGGGGGCAAGAGGGGAAAAGAGGGGCAAGAGGGGAAAAGAGGGGCAAGAGGGGAAAAGAGGGGGCAAGAGGGGAAAAGAGGGAGCAAGAGGGGAAAAGAGGGAGCAAGAGGGGAAAAGAGGGGGCAAGAGGGGAAAAGGGGGCAAGAGGGGAAAAGAGGGAGCAAGAGGGGAAAAGAGGGGCAAGAGGGGAAAAGAGGGGAAGAGGGGAAAAGGGGGCAAGAGGGGAAAGAGGGGCAAGAGGGGAAAAGAGGGGCAAGAGGGGAAAAGAGGGGCAAGAGGGGAAAGAGGGAGCAAGAGGGGAAAAGAGGGGCAAGAGGGGAAAAGAGGGAGCAAGAGGGGAAAAGGGGGCAAGAGGGGAAAAGAGGGGAAGGGGAAAAGAGGGGCAAGAGGGAAAAGAGGGGGCAAGAGGGGAAAAGAGGGCAAGAGGGAAAAGAGGGGCAAGAGGGGAAAGAGGGAGCAAGAGGGGAAAAGAGGGGCAAGAGGGGAAGAGGGAGCAAGAGGGGAAAGAGGGAGCAAGAGGGGAAAAGAGGGGCAAGGGGAAAAGAGGGAGCAAGAGGGGAAAAGAGGGGCAAGAGGGGAAAAGAGGGGCAAGAGGGGAAAAGAGGGCAAGAGGGGAAAAGAGGAGCAAGAGGGGAAAAGAGGGGCAAGAGGGGAAAAGAGGGGCAAGAGGGGAAAGAAAGGGCAAGGGGAAAAGAGGGGCAAGAGGGGAAAAGAGGGCAAGAGGGGAAAAGAGGGAGCAAGAGGGGAAAAGAGGGGGCAAGAGGGGAAAAGAGGGGCAAGAGGGAAAAGAGGGGCAAGAGGGGAAAAGAGGGGGCAAGAGGGGAAAAGAGGGGCAAGAGGGGAAAAGAGGGGGCAAGAGGGAAAAGAGGGGGCAAGAGGGGAAAAGAGGGGCAAGAGGGGAAAAGAGGGGCAAGAGGGGAAAGAAGCAAGAGGGGAAAAGAGGGGCAAGAGGGGAAAAGAGGGGCAAGAGGGGAAAAGGGGGCAAGAGGGAAAAGAGGGCAAGAGGGAAAAGGGGGCAAGAGGGGAAAAGAGGGGCAAGAGGGGAAAAGGGGGCAAGAGGGGAAAGAGGGAGCAAGAGGGGAAAAGAGGGGCAAGAGGGGAAAAGAGGGGCAAGAGGGGAAAAGAGGGGCAGGGGAAAAGAGGGCAAGAGGGGAAAAAGAAGAGGAAAAGAGGGGCAAGAGGGGAAAGAGGGAGCAAGAGGGGAAAAGAGGGAGCAAGAGGGGAAAAGAGGGGCAAGAGGGGGAAAAGAAGGGGAGCAAGAGGGAAAGGGGAAGAAAAAGAGGGGAGCAAGAGGGGAAAAGAGGGGGCAAGAGGGGGAAAAAGAGGGGCAAGAGGGGAAAAGAGGGGGCAAGAGGGGGAAGAAAAGAGGGGGAGAGAAAGAGGGGGCAAGAGGGGAAAAGAGGCAAGAGGGGAAAAGAGGAGCAGAGGGGAAAGAGGGGCAAGAGGGGAAAAGAGGGGGCAAGAGGGGGAAAAGAGGGGCAAGAGGGAAAAGAGGGGGCAAGAGGGGAAAAGAGGGGCAAGAGGGAAAAGAGGGGCAAGAGGGGGAAAGAGGGGGCAGAGGGGAAAAGAGGGGGCAAGAGGGGAAAAGAGGGGGCAAGAGGGGAAAAGAGGGGCAAGAGGGAAAAGAGGGGGCAAGAGGGAAAAGAGGGGGCAGGGAAATGAAATGGGCGAAGGGAAAAATGTAGCATGTCAAACATTGACTCGCGTGTGATTCTACGCGTTACATGTCTAAGCGAGGAAGCTTAAAAGAGATCCAATTGTCACACGCACACACGCACGCACGCACGCACACACGCAAGCAAGCACACACACACACACACACACACGCAAACACGCGTGCACGCATGCACAGACAGGTGTGTATCACACCCTGAAAGGTGAAGCAAGATAGGAACTAGGGGTGATGCAAAGAGAGGCCAGAGAAATGAAGAAAGGCAGACGGCCCTCCCCTCCACCCTCACTGCACTCCCCACCGCCGCACCCACAAAACTCAACCCTTCCAACCACTGTTGAGTCGGGCCGAAGCGCCACCGCAGACAACAAGGTGACTGTTGAGTTGGCTGGACAGTCACGGGCTCGTAGAAGACTTTTGGACGTTCAGCACAGTTGAAACCACTTCCGCTCACCCTCTCTAATGGCTGTGACTTGGGCCTAAGCACCACACCTGTGGCCACCGCACGTAGTGACTTTTGAGTCAACTTGTGACTCAAATGGCACACGGGGTATGAGATGTCAGGAACAGTGGCACACCGTCACTCACTCTAGCTCACTCCCACTCTCTCCCACACTCTCCCACTCTCCCTTTCACTCACACCCACCCACCGACCCATCCACCCACCTTGTCCAATGCCTGTGAGTCGGGACTGAGCGCCACCTCTTTGACCACATGCTTGTAAGTTACCACCGGCACTCGCGTCACTAAGTCCTGGTCGTTGGCGATGCGCCAGCTGCCCCCAACGAGCTGAAGATGGGGAGGTGGGAGAGGGGGGGAGGGGGGGAGGGGGGAGGAAGTGCACGTGGAGCATGTACAGCACGCGCGGCACGATGTCCATGTGTGAGGAAGCACCTCAAAAATAGACTGCAGCACGCGTGGCACCATATCCAGGTCGTTGGCAATGTGCCAACTTTCCCCCACGAGATGGGAAATGGAGGAGGGAGGGGGGGAAGGGAGGAGGGCGTGGGGGAAGGGAGGAGGAGAGGGAGGGGGAAGAGAAGAGGGGGCAATGCGTGGGGAAGACCAGAATGCCGCACGGCACGAGGCACAATGTCCTGGTGGTTGGCGATGTGCTAGCTACCTCCCACGAGCTGAAGAAAGGGAGGATGCAGAGGGGGAGGGAGAGGAAGGAGAGGGAGAGAGGAAGAGAGGGAGAGAGGAAGGAAGGAGAGGGAGAGTGGAAGCAGAGGGAGAGAGGAAGGAGAGTGGGGGAGAAAGGAGAGGCAGGAGGAGGATAGCGGGGGAGCAGGGAGAGTTGGGTAGGGAGGAAAGAGGGGAGGAGGAGAGGGAGGGGAGGGGCGAGGGGAAAAGGTGGGGTCTCTTGTCGTGGACGTATGGCACACGGGGCACCATGCCCTCGTCGTTCGCAATTCCAAGATGCGTTACTTCGATACAAGCATACTGACCACAGACTATATAGGACGATAGCTTCACCACCATCTTGCTGTCTGGCATAGTCAAGATAATCATGCCCACATGAAACACACCTCATTGAAATGAGCAGCAAAAGCATAGTTCCCCACGCGGGGAGATCCAAAGTTGTACATGGAAAGACTAAACCCGTACTGCCTGTGGGTTGGAAAAGAAAGAAAAGAGGAAAGAGGAAAGGAGATAAATTGGAATAGGGAGGCTTGGGGAGGACCAATCACGTGGAATCCAAAGTTGCACATAAGATCCAAAGTTCCACATAAGATCCAAAGTTGCACATAAGATCCAAAGTTGCACATAAGATCCAAAGTTGCACATAAGATCCAAAGTGCACATAAGATCCAAAGTTGACCAATCAAGATCCAAAGTTGACCAATCAAGATCCAAAGTTGACCAATCAAGATCCAAAGTTGGCCAATCAAGAAACTGACGCAATACTGCCTGTGACGACTAGCCAGGCTGAGCAGGTGGAAGCGAAGCGAGGAAAGGACAGAAAGTTGAGAAGAGAGGCTAGGAGGCTAGGAGACTAGGAGGCTAGGAGGCTAGGAGGCTAGGAGGCTAGGAGGCTAGGAGAAAATCTATTATCAAAAGTTCCAAAGCTTCACTCGTACCTTCCTCCCTCCTTCGATGTACGAGTCACGCTCACTCTGTTAGCACTCACGCTCGTTTCTTCAGGTCCCACTGGGCATGGTGTTACTGTACGCGTAGAATGCGGGCAGTGCAGTTCCACTCACCCACTTACTTCCCTTCTTATCTTGGTGCATTTGAGTCGACTAAAATGCAGAACGACCACCTTTTTTCTTTCTGCATTCACACTGCCCCTTCCCTTGCGAGCACCTACATTCGCTAGCACTTTTGCACGCACTCACTCACTAGCAGTCACACTCACTCACTAGCAGTCACACTCACTCGCCTGCAGTCACACTCACTCACTAGCAGTCACACTCACTCGCCAGCAGTCACACTCACTCGCCAGCAGTCACACTCACTCGCCAGCAGTCACACTCACCCGCCAGTACAGTCAGTCACACTCACTCGCCAGCACAGTCACACTCACTCGCCAGCACAGTCACACTCACTCGCTAGCACAGTCACACTCACTCGCTAGCATAGTCTCACTCACTCGCCAGCACAGTCACACTCACCCGCTAGCACAGTCACACTCACTCGCTAGCACAGTCACACTCACTCGCTAGCACAGTCACACTCACTCGCCAGCGCAGTCACACTCACTCGCCAGCACAGTCACACTCACTCGCCAGCACAGTCACACTCACTCGCTAGCACAGTCACACTCACTCGCTAGCACAGTCACACTCACTCGCTAGCACAGTCACACTCACTCGCTAGCACAGTCACACTCACTCGCTAGCACAGTCACACTCACTCGCTAGCATAGTCACACTCGCTCTGCTAGCACACACTCACTTCTTAAAACCAGACTGGGCCAGGTCGTTTGTGAGGAGCATGAAAAGAGCCTAACTACACTCCCTTCTTGCCTTTGAGAACACACTCACACTCACTCACTCACTCCATACACACTCACTTCATTCACACACTCCTTAATTCACACACTCACTTCTTCAGGTCTGACTGGGCCAGGTCGTATGTGAGGAGCGTGGCGAGACCGGCCCCAAGGCTGTGACCGGTGACCATGATGTGGTACCTGGAGGGATGGGGGCAGTGAGACAAGAGGAAATGCATGGGGGCGCGATGGCTTGTTGTGAGAGCTCATCACAAAAAGACAGGCCCACTTCTCCACATGCCCACTTCTCCACATGCCCACTTCTCCACAGGCCCACTTCTCCACAGGCCCACTTCTCCACAGGCCCACTTTTCCACATGCCCACTTCTCCACATGCCCACTTCTCCACAGGCCCACTTTCCCTCTTGCTCAATTTTCCTTGGAGGCGGCGAGAGTGTCTTTCAGCGACACCATGAGCCGGGGGTTGTAGTCTTTCAGGCTGCTCTTCTCCCCCAGATGGGATTGTAACCCCATCGGGCATTACGCCATGGGGCGTTCCACCACGGCACCACGAGGCGTTCCACCACGAGGCGTTACACCACGAGCCGTTCCACCACGAGGCGTTGCACCACGAGGCGTTGCACCACGAGGCGTTCCACCACGAGGCGTTACACCACGAGGCGTTCCACCACGAGGCGTTACACCACGAGGCGTTACACCACGAGGCGTTACACCACGAGGCGTTACACCACGAGACGTTCCACCACGAGGCGTTGCACCATGAGGCATTGCACCACGAGGCGTTGCACCACAGGCGTTACACCACAAGGCGTTACATCAGGCTCACCAGACTCACCTTTCTTTGGAGGAGGCGAGAATGCCTATCTGCAGCAGCATGAGCCGGGGCTTCACCGACTCGTACGCAGCCAAGAATCCGCCGTGCACCTGAAAGGGAAGGAAGAATTGGAGATAGACGGGGAGAAAGAAGGGGAGAAAGAAGGGGAGAAAGAATGGGAGAAAGAAGGGGAGAGAGAAGGGGAGAGAGAAGGGGAGAAAGAAGGGGAGAAAGAAGGGGAGAAAGAAGGGGAGAGACAAGGGGAGAAAGAAAGGGAGAAAGAAGGGGAGAAAGAAGGGGAGAAAGAAGGGGAGAGAAAAGGGGAGAAAGAAGGGGAGAAAGAAGGGGAGAAAGAAGGGGAGAGAAAAGGGGAGAAAGAAGGGGAGAAAGAAGGGGAGAAAAAGGGCACGGGGAGAGAAAAGGGGAGTCAAGGATAGCGTTTCGCAGAAAAAGGGGCTAGGCGTGACGGACCTGTAGGCACCCCCGAAGCCTCCATGCCAACACCAACGACGAGCAACAGGTTTGGCGTACCCCCATCCAGCCACACCTGTGTTTGAGTCGACTCAAAACAGCTACTCCCCACATACTGTGTTTGAGTCGACTCAAAGCAGCTACTCCCCACATGCTGTGTTTGAGTCGACTCAAAGCAGCTACTCCCCACATACTGTGTTTGAGTCGACTCAAAGCAGCTACTCCCCACATGCTGTGTTTGAGTCGACTCAAAGCAGCTACTCCCCACATGCTGTGTGTGTGCTGTGAGGCATTCACCTACAGTGGCTCGGTGCACCGCGTGAGGTGAGTAGCAGGGTGGGTGCACCAACGAGAGTAGCAGGGTGGGTGCACCAACGTGAGTAGCAGGGTGGGTGCAACCAACGAGAGTAGCAGGGTGGGTGCACCAACGAGAGTAGCAGGGTGGGTGCACCAACGAGAGTAGCAGGGTGGGTGCACCAACGTGAGTAGCAGGGTGGGTGCACCAACGAGAGTAGCAGGGTGGGTGCACCAACGTGAGTAGCAGGGTGGGTGCACCAACGAGAGTAGCAGGGTGGGTGCACCAACGAGAGTAGCAGGGTGGGTGCACCAACGAGAGTAGCAGGGTGGGTGCACCAACGTGAGTAGCAGGGTGGGTGCACCAACGAGAGTAGCAGGGTGGGTGCACCAACGTGAGTAGCAGGGTGGGTGCACCAACGAGAGTAGCAGGGTGGGTGCACCAACGAGAGTAGCAGGGTGGGTGCACCAACGAGTAGCAGGGTGGGTGCACCAACGTGAGTAGCAGGGTGGGTGCACCAACGAGAGTAGCAGGGTGGGTGCACCAACGTGAGTAGCAGGGTGGGTGCACCAACGAGAGTAGCAGGGTGGGTGCACCAACGAGAGTAGCAGGGTGGGTGCACCAACGTGAGTAGCAGGGTGGGTGCACCAACGAGAGTAGCAGGGTGGGTGCACCAACGAGAGTAGCAGGGTGGGTGCACCAACGTGAGTAGCAGGGTGGGTGCACCAACGAGAGTAGCAGGGTGGGTGCACCAACGAGAGTAGCAGGGTGGGTGCACCAACGTGAGTAGCAGGGTGGGTGCACCAACGAGAGTAGCAGGGTGGGTGCACCAACGAGAGTAGCAGGGTGGGTGCACCAACGTGAGTAGCAGGGTGGGTGCACCAACGAGAGTAGCAGGGTGGGTGCACCAACGAGAGTAGCAGGGTGGGTGCACCAACGAGAGTAGCAGGGTGGGTGCCAACGTGAGTAGCAGGGTGGGTGCACCAACGAGAGTAGCAGGGTGGGTGCACCAACGAGAGTAGCAGGGTGGGTGCACCAACGTGAGTAGCAGGGTGGGTGCACCAACGAGAGTAGCAGGGTGGGTGCACCAACGAGAGTAGCAGGGTGGGTGCACAACGTGAGTAGCAGGGTGGGTGCACCAACGTGAGTAGCAGGGTGGGTGCACCAACGAGAGTAGCAGGGTGGGTGCATCAATGTGAGTAGCAGGGTGGGTGCACCAACGAGAGTAGCAGGGTGGGCACCAACGAGAGTAGCAGGTGGTGCACCAACGTGAGTAGCAGGTGGGTGCACCAACGAGAGTAGCAGGGTGGGTGCACCAACGAGAGTAGCAGGGTGGGTGCACAAACGAGAGTAGTAGGTGGGTGCACCAACGTGAGTAGCAGGGTGGGTGCACCAACGAGAGTAGCAGGGTGGGTGCACCAACGAGAGTAGCAGGGTGGGTGCACCAACGAGAGTAGCAGGATGGGTGCACCAACGTGAGTAGCAGGTTAGGTTGCACCAACATGAGTAGCCAGGTAGGTGCACCAATGTGAGTAGCAGGGTGGGTTCACCAACGTGAGTAGCAGGTTAGGTTGCACCAACATGAGCAGCCGGGTAGGTGCACCAACGTGAGTAGCAGGGTGGGTGCACCAAAGTGAGTAGCAGGTTAGGTTGCACCAACATGAGTAGCCGGGTAGGTTGCACCAACAAGAGTAGCAGGGTGGGTGCACCAACGTGAGTAGCAGGGTGGGTGCACCAACGTGAGTAGCAGGTTAGGTTGCACCAACATGAGTAGCCGGGTAGGTGCACAACGTGGTGCACACCAACGTGAGTAGCAGGGTGGTGCACCAACGTGAGGGGGGGGGGTGAGTAGCAGGTTAGGTTGCACCAACATGAACAGCCGGGTGGTGCACCAACGTGAGTAGCAGGGTGGGTGCACCAACGAGAGTAGCAGGGTGGGTGCACCAACGAGAGTAGCAGGGGTGGGTGCACCAACGAGAGTAGCATGGTGGGTGCACCAACGAAGAGTAGCAGGGTGGGTGCATCAACGTGAGTAGCAGGGTGGGTGCACCAACGAGAGTAAGCAGGGTGGGTGCACCAACGAGAGTAGCAAGGGTGGGTGCACCAACGTGAGTAGCAGGGTGGGTGCACCAACGAGAGTAAGCAGGTGGGTGCACCAAACGAGAGTAGCAGGGTGGGTGCACCAACGAGAGTAGCAGGGTGGGTGCACCAACGTGAGTAGCAGGGTGGGGTGCACCAAAGTGAGTAGCAGGTTAGGTTGCACCAACATGAGTAGCCGGGTAGGTGCACCAACGAGAGTAGCAGGGGGTGCACCACGTGAGTAGCAGGGTGGGTGCACCAACGTGAGTAGCAGGTTTAGGTTGCACCAACATGAGTAGCCGGGTAGGTGCACCAACGTGAGTAGCAGGGTGGGTTCACCAACGTGATAGCAGTTAGGTTGCACCAACGAGAGTAGCCGGGTAGGTGCACCAACGAGAGTAACAGGGTGGGTGCACCAACGTGAGTAGCAGGTTAGGTTGCACCAACATGAGTAGCAGGGTAGGTTGCACCTACGTGAGTAGCAGGGTGGGTGCACCAACAAGAGTAGCAGGGTGGGTGCACCAACGTGAGTAGCAGGGTGGGTGCACCAACGAGAGTAGCAGGGTGGGTGCACCAACGAGAGTAGCAGGGTCGGTGCACCAACGAGAGTAGCACGGTGGGTGCAACCAACGAGAGTAGCAGGGTGGGTGCACCAACGAGAGTAGCAGGTTAGGTTGCACCAACATGAGTAGCCGGGTAGGTGCACCAGCGAGAGTAGCAGGGTGGGTGCACAACGTGAGTAGCAGGGGTGGGTGCACCAACGAGAGTAACAGGGTGGGTGCACCAACGTGAGTAGCAGGTTAGGTTGCACCAACATGAGTAGCAGGGTAGGTGCACCAACGAGAGTAGCAGGGTGGGTGCACCAACGAGAGTAGCAGGTTAGGTTGCACCAACATGAGTAGCCGGGTAGGTGCACCAGCGAGAGTAGCAGGGTGGGTGCACCAACGTGAGTAGCAGGGTGGGTGCACCAACGAGAGTAACAGGGTGGGTGCACCAACGTGAGTAGCAGGTTAGGTTGCACCAACATGAGTAGCAGGGTAGGTGCACCTACGTGAGTAGCAGGGTGGGTGCACCAACAAGAGTAGCAGGGTGGGTGCACCAACGTGAGTAGCAGGGTGGGTGCACCAACGAGAGTAGCAGGGTGGGTGCACCAACGAGAGTAGCAGGGTCGGTGCACCAACGAGAGTAGCACGGTGGGTGCACCAACGAGAGTAGCAGGGGGAGAGTAGCAGGTTAGGTTGCACCAACATGAGTAGCCGGGTAGGTGCACCAGCGAGAGTAGCAGGGTGGGTGCACCAACGTGAGTAGCAGGGTGGGTGCACCAACGAGAGTAACAGGGTGGGTGCACCAACGTGAGTAGCAGGTTAGGTTGCACCAACATGAGTAGCAGGGTAGGTGCACCAACGAGAGTAGCAGGGTGGGTGCACCAACGAGAGTAGCAGGTTAGGTTGCACCAACATGAGTAGCCGGGTAGGTGCACCAGCGAGAGTAGCAGGGTGGGTGCACCAACGTGAGTAGCAGGGTGGGTGCACCAACGAGAGTAACAGGGTGGGTGCACCAACGTGAGTAGCAGGTTAGGTTGCACCAACATGAGTAGCAGGGTAGGTGCACCTACTGAGTAGCAGGGTGGGTGCACCAACGAGAGTAGCAGGGTGGGTGCACCAACGAGAGTAGCAGGGTGGGTGCACCAACGTGAGTAGCAGGGTGGGTGCACCAACGAGAGTAGCAGGGTGGGTGCACCAACGAGAGTAGCAGGGTCGGTGCACCAACGAGAGTAGCACGGTGGGTGCACCAACGAGAGTAGCAGGGTGGGTGCACCAACGAGAGTAGCAGGTTAGGTTGCACCAACATGAGTAGCCGGGTAGGTGCACCAGCGAGAGTAAGCAGGGTGGGTGCACCAACGTGAGTAGCAGGTTAGGTTTGCACCAACATGAGTAGCCGGGTAGGTGCACCAACGAGAGTAGCAGGGGGTGCACCAACGTGAGTAGCAGGTTAGGTTGCACCAACATGAGTAGCAGGGTAGGTGCACCAACGTGAGTAGCAGGGTGGGTGCACCAACGAGAGTAGCAGGGTGGGATCACCAGCGTGAGTAGCAGGGTGGGTGCACCAACGAGAGTAGCAGGGTGGGTGCACCAACGAGAGTAGCAGGGTGGGTGCACCAACGAGAGTAGCAGGGTGGGTGCACGGTTAGGTTGCACCAACATGAGTAGCCGGGTAGGTGCACCAACGAGAGTAGCAGGGTGGGTGCACCAACGTGAGTAGCAGGGTGGGTGCACCAACGAGAGTAGCAGGGTGGGTGCACCAGCGTGAGTAGCAGGGTGGGTGCACCAACGAGAGTAGCAGGGTGGGTGCACCAACGAGAGTAGCAGGGTGGGTGCACCAACGAGAGTAGCATGGTGGGTGCACCAACGAGAGTAGCAGGGTGGGTGCATCAACGTGAGTAGCAGGGTGGGTGCACCAACGAGAGTAGCAGGGTGGGTGCACCAACGAGAGTAGCAGGGTGGGTGCACCAACGTGAGTAGCAGGGTGGGTGCACCAACGAGAGTAGCAGGGTGGGTGCACCAACGAGAGTAGCAGGGTGGGTGCACCAACGAGAGTAGCAGGGTGGGTGCACCAACGTG